AGGCTGGCTTTGAACTGAGATCCTCAGATCTCAGCCTCCTGAGGAGCTAGGATGACAGGTGTGAGCCACCAGCGCCTGGCTTGGAGTGAGGTCTTGAGAGTCAGAGGCGATGGGCTGGCACTGGGCAGGAGGCAGGAGCTGGGCATGCATTTAAGTTACCCCGTGTATCAGGTAGGAGACAGATATAGACAGATATAGCCTGCTCCACATGGAAGACAAAAGCGGGCCTTCCCTGCTTCCTTCTTCCTTTAAGTTTCTCCAGTCCCCAAAACTCTCCAAGGGGCCCTCACATTAAAAAAAGTCCACTGAGAACCGGACGCCAGTGGCTCACGCTTGTCATCCTAGCTACTCGGGCGGCTGAGATCTGAGGATCACGGTTCAAAGCCAGCCCGGGCAGGAAAGTTCGTGAGACTCTGATCTCCCATGAACCACCAGAAAACCGGAAATGGCGCTGTGGCTCAAGTGGTAGAGCGCTGGACTTGAGCTGAAGAGCACAGGACAGCGCCTAGGTCTAGAGCCTCACATACTTTACCACCATGTCATCGACACAGTGGCTGTTGTGGGTCAGGTTGGGAAAGGGGCTCTGACCAGTCCAAGGTCACACTGGAAGATAGTGGCAGAACCAGGCTAGGGCTCCCCACTAGCTACCCAGCACCCCTCTTTCTGCCCCCTGAGAAGGGGGAGGAGTAGGGAGACGCAGGGCGCCCCAGCCGCAGGCCTGCCTGTTCAGCACACAGCCCCTAGGTCCCCCCAGCTCCCCTAAACCTCTGTCATCAAACCCCTTGTTCTCCGGGAAAGGTTTAGCCCTAGTCACCTCCCCAACCTCCAAGTCCGGGGGACATGAAAAGGCTGGAGCTGACTCTTGTGTTTGTTTCCCGGGACCAGGGTCTGAACCCAGGGCCTCAAGCTTGCTAGCCAGGTGCTGTACTGCCTGAGCCACGCCCCCAGCCCCTCAGGACTGACTTGTTGATGGTGATGTCCTGATTGTCCAGGGTGGACAGGTAGATGTCAATGAAGGACAGACTAGTGCCGAAGTCATCCAGCACCATGGGGTCCGTGTGCCGCAGCGTCTTCTTGAAGTTCTCCACCAACTCGCCAAAACTCTTTTTGGAGCTTTTCTAGAGAAGGAAGAGAGACATGAGAATGGGGAAAAGGGATGATAAAGCTCAGTGATAGCTGTCACTGAGGTCTGAGGCTGAGGTCTGAGAATCGAGGTTCAAAGCCAGCCCCAGACAGGAAAGTCCAGGACATACTCACCCTCTAATTAAAAAACAAACAAACAAAAAAAAAAAACAACTTGGAGGTAAAAAAGTTCAGGGACAAGCTGGGCACCGGTGGCCCATGCCTGCAATCCTAGCTACTCAGGAGACTGAGATCTGAGGATCACGGTTCAAAGCCAGCCTGGGCAGGAACATTCATGACTTTTATCTCCAATGAACCACCAGAAAACTGGAAGTGGCGCTGTGGCTCAAGAGGTAGAGCACTTGCCTTGAGCTGAAGAGCTGAGGGACAGCGCCCAGGCCAGGAGTTCAGGCCCCACGACCAACAAAAAGAAAAAAGACTCAGGACCAACACAGACACACACACACACACATACACACACACACACACACACACACTCACGGCTAAGATATCCAGAGATCTGGGGAATCCTCTACAATACACCCCAGAAGTTTATCCTGACCCTTCTGAATCTCTCATGGATGAGGCAGCATCGTGAGCCACCAGCCCTAAATACAGGAGGCCAGGGGTAAACTGAGGCACCTGTGAGGGCCTCGTACAGCCCCTTGGGTATGGTCTAGACAGACGTCTCCACCCTGGAGAGGCACAGAAGGGCTGTTCTGGTGGCGAGGGGACTCGGCAGGGCGTCCACAGCTGGACCGAGCACACTCAGGTAGAAAAGGGAAGCCACACCCAGGCAGCACAGACGTGGCCACTCCTGCTCTGGTTTTTGACAGCTGGGCAGCTCAGGATGAGTACCACCCCGCCAGAGCCTCTGGACCCAGGTGAGCCCTGAGCAGCCCCAGCCCAGGGCCCAAAAGACCCTGTAGCCTGTCATGAGGTTGAGCTCTGAGGATCACAGTTTGAGCCTGGACCAGAAAGTCCCTGAGACACTTGCAATTAACCACCAAAAAGCCAGAAGTGGAGCTGTGGCTCGCGTGGCAAAGCACTAGCCTTGAGCACAAAAGCTCAGGGACGACATCCAGAACGTGAGTTTAAGCCCCAGGACTGCCCCCCTTCTTCTCCCCCCCCCAAAAAAAAGCATCCCAATAGAATTCTGCGCACAAAGGAGTGGGCAGAATAATGACCATATTTAACACCCCAATTGTAGCTTGGAGACACTCAAGATTACAGAAAGCAAAGCTTGGTGTGGAAAATACAAAGGGAAGATACCCGTGGGTGACTCACCTGCGTCTGAATCAGCCTACTGACCCTCTCCTGCTGCCGCCGCAGGATCACCTGCTTCTCCTCCATCATGGTCGCGTGCCGCTCGATCATGAGCTCGCGCTTAAACTTCTTGATGGAGTCCTAGAGAGTCAGAGGCTGGCGGTGAGGGGCAGCTTCCCCTGCCCACTGTCCCCTCTCCTGGTCTCTCTCCCTGCCTAGCCTAGCAGGAAAATCTGTCCACAGCTCCCAGTCAGAGGCTGGCGGTGAGGGGCAGCTTCCCCTGCCCACTGTCCCCTCTCCTGGTCTCTCTCCCTCCACAGCCTAGCAGGAAAATCTGTCCACAGCTGCCAGCAATGGCTGCGTTGGCTTTCCCAGCTTAACTCTACTTCGAGCAAAGGCAGAGGTTTGGAGAAAAGGGCCGTGGGGGTGAGAAGGACCCATCTAGTGATCTGTGTGTGTGTGTGTGTAATGGGACTTGAACTCAGGGCCTTGAACACTTCTGGTTTTCTGGTGGTTCACTGGAGATAAAGACTTTCCTACCCGGGCTGGCCTTGAACTGTGATCCTCAGATCTCAGCCTCCTGAGTAGCTGGGATGACAGGCGTGAGCCCCCAGCATCCATTGAGGGACCCATTTTTGTCCACGTCCACATCCCATCCGGAGACTTGACCTCCCCCCTGGCCTGACCCCTCCCCCCCACATCCCTCCCCGGGAACACAGCCTCACCTCGGTATGCATGATCATCACCCCCACAAACATGTTGAGGAAGATGAAGGAGGCCAGCAGGATGAAGGTGATGGTGAAGATGCGGCTCACCAGGAAGTTCCGGTTGTCCAACTCTTCCTGCAGGTTTGTCCATCCGTCGACCTGCTCAGGCAGAGAGGGTCATGTTGAGTGCCAAGGCCCAGTACAGTAGCGCCTGGGTCTCACCCCTGCTAGTGGGGGGTGCGGCTGGGGGCTGACAGGAGCTGCCACTGCTTCTAGACCTGCTCAACCCCTCCCGGCCCAGCGTCCAGAGCCGTCCCCAACCCCCTCAGGCTCTAGTCTCAAAAATCTCCCATTTTCTCCCCAAAGACATTATCTCTCACCAGCCCACCTTTGAAAAGAAATAAGCAAAACAAAACTACGAATGGAGTTGGAGGCGTGGCTCAGGCGGTAGGTCATCAGCCAATGAGCGAAAGCATAAGATACCGAGTTTGAGTCGTAGATGGAGGAGGAGGAGGAGGAGGAGGAGGAGGAGCACCTGTGGCTCACATTTGTCATCCTAGCTACTCAGGAGGCTGAGAGCTGAGGATCGTGGTTCAAAGCCAGCCCGGCCAGGAACATCTATGAGACTTATCAATAAACTGCTCAGAAAAAGCCAGACGTGGAGTTGTGGCTCAAACAGCAGAGTACTAGCCTTGAGCACAAAGAGGCTCAAGGATAGTGCCTGGGACCTGAGTTCAAGTCCCAGAACCACCAGGAAAAAAAGAAAAGAAAAGAAACAACAAGAACAACACTCCATTCTTTAGGACTCCCACTGAGCCTAGACTTCAGGACTTGGCTCTGCACGCTTCTCCCGGGTGGCTTTGTGCCAGTCCATTTTCAAAAAGGCTTTGTGCTACGAGTCTCATTTATAACTTCATCCAAAGGAAGCATCGCGTGAGGAGACTTAGGACCCGGTGCCACGTGTGGAAATGACTTAAAGAAGTCCCAGGATTAGAGACAGCGCTAGCTCTCTCCTTACCCGCCGGCCTGCAGGATCCCGGGGTACCAGTCCTCAGTGACCCCAGAATCAATGGAATGCCCAGACCAGGGGGAAGGAACCCCCCCCCATTCCCGCCCTGCAGGTCTGCAGATCTGCATGGTCTCCCTGCTCCGGGGCCCTGCCCACCACCCTGCTCTTCAACAGTACCGTGGCCAAGCTGAAGAGGGTGAAGAAAGCCACGGCCAGATTGCCCCAGTTATCCAGGTCGCCCTTATCCGAGACTCCGAACAGGCAGAAGCCCAGGATGGAGAAGATGTACATGAGGATGAAGAGCAGCGTGAGCACGGAGGCCACGGTGTAGACCGTCTGTCCCACGGCCGTGATGAGGGTCTGCGTGGAAGGGAATACGGTCATCAGGCACGCGTGGCTCGGCTGAGCCAGCTCAGAGGCCTGGGGTCCCCTCTGCTGGGCACACAGCTGTCCTTAGCCCCTGGTGGCAGGGGAGATCTCCAGTGAATGAATGAATGAAGTGGATCAGAACTTGTATGTCCTGGGGGCTGCATCTGTCCTGCAGTAGCATCTGCCCTCAGCTGCCTGGGGTGGCCTCCCGTCCATACCACAGATGCCCCTGTGGTCATCCCAGAATGCAGCAGGCTCCAATGCTTGGCCCCAGGCCCCGGGGTCTGGGAAGCGCCCTGCATTGGCCATGGAGAGGGCTCCAAGGCATAGGTGTCCCGCTCTTTCTGGGCCTGGCCTTCTCTGGGCCTGGCCTTCACTGGCCGGTCCTCAGCTTGTGACCTCAGCCTTCCCCACTATGAAACGGGGCAATTGTCTCCCCACCCCCTATAGGGCTGGCGGAGACCCGGGGAACAGTGTATGGAGCCTCCAAACCCTAGAGTCTTGTAGAGAGCAGATACAATCTATCAATTGAGTGCATGAAGGGCTATCTGTCTGTCTGTCTAGCTATGTATCTATCTATGTAAGTATGCATCTATATATGTATCTATGTATCTATCTATGTATCTATCTATGTAAGTATGTATCTATCTATGTATCTATCTATGCAAATATGTATCTATCTATGTAAGTATGTATCTATCTATGCAAATATGTATCTATCTACCTATCTATTTGTCTATCTAATTGTGTGCTCACGGGTGTGCTCATACGCACTCCTAGGGCTTGAACTCAGGGCCTAGGTGCTACCCCTTAGCTTTTTCACTCAAGGCAAGCGCTCTACCACTTTGAGCTCCACTTCCAGCTTTGTGGTGGTTCATTGGAGATCATGGTCTCACGGACATTCCTGCCTGGGCAGGCTTCTAACTGTGATCCTCAGACCTCGTAAGTAGGATGACAGGCGTGACTACCAGTGCCCGGCTCCAGTTTGGTTTTCTGTCCACCTTCCTTACTTCTGACACCAGCTCTGATACCCAGCACCTCAGGCATTCATCACCTTTCCTTCAAGGATACAGGGTCATCTATCCCTAACCCCCCCCCCAACAACAACAAGGGGAGGGGGTGTGGAGAAAGGGGGATTGTGACTTGATTTACCCTGAGAAGTCTCCAACCCCCAGCCATGGAAGGAGGCGTTGCTTGGAGGTGTGGGAGGCCATCACAGGAGCCCAACAAAGGCTGCAGGTAGCAGGGATGAAAAGATACAGAGGGCTGGGTGCCAGTGGCTCACGCCTGTCATCCTGGCTACTCAGGAGGCTGAGATCTGAGGATCGCAGTTCAAAGCCAGCCTGGGCAGGAAAGTCCATGAGACTCTTATCTCCAATAAACCACCAGAAAACTGGAAGTGGCGCTGTGGCTCAAGTGGTAGAGCGCTCGCCTTGAGCTGAAGAGCTGAGGGACAGCGCCCAGGCCCAGAGTTCAAGCCTCACAACCAAAAGAAAAGATACAGAGGGGTCAATGATTACTTCAGAGGCCACACAGCAGGATTTGAAAGGAGTTGGGACACCCTGCATCGGAAGAAGAGGAAATCCCAGGTGCAGGCATGTGCAGGCAGGGCTGGGGCACGTGTGTGGGCAGAGAGGGGCACAAAGAGTCCTAGGCAGCAGAAAAGATGGCCCCGAGAGAATACACAGAGGGGATGGGAGAGAAGGCAGGCTGCAGTCACCCAGGAGAGGTCAGGTGGGAGACACAGGAAGCAGGGACGAAGGGAGCAGGGGAGATGAACCCTGGACCTAGTGACAAGGAAAAGGCCAGCCACCTTGTGCAGGCCACTTCCTGACAACAGAAGGAAGAAACGGCCCAGAAATGGGCCAGGAACAAGGAAGGAAGAAGAGGCAAGACTGGACACAGACACAGACAGACACACAGACAGACAGACACACAGACAGACAGACAGACACACACACACACACACACACACACACACAGGCAAGCAAGGAAAGAGTGACTGCATGAACACACAGGCCCGGCCCCTTCCTCCACGGCTGCTCCCCCACAGAGTTGTCTGTGGACCTGGCACAGGGTAAGATTTGTTCTGGAAGCTTCTGGGGCAAGGAAAGGCTAGTCACCCCCTAATTTCAGCACTTCAGGGGAATTTGGTGGAGTGGAGTTAAGAGGCTACCTACCCCCAATTCAAGTGCCTGGGTCACCTCAGAGAAGAGGCAACAATACCCCTGCCATCTTTGTTTTTTTTTGGGGGGGGGGGAGAAGGAGATGTAGCATCTATTCATTTCACTATTGTCTTTTTCCTTTGGCCCTTTGCCTCGTCCTATCTACATTTCAGATTTCTACTTGATGTTCAACGTGCTTTTATTTGCCTTTTTTTTTTTAATACGGAAAAGATGACACTGTCCCCCAAGAACTGGAGATAAATGGGAATTGAAAAAAAAATAAAGAGAGGAGAAGAGAGGAAATGGGAGAAGCAACCAAATTTTAGCCAAGTCAGATGCCGGTGGCTCACACCTGTCATCCTAGTTACTTAGGAGGCTGAGATCTGAGGATCAGGGGTTCAAAGCCAGCCCAGAGCAGGAACGTCTGTAAGACTTATCTCCAATGAACCACCAGAAAAATGGAAGTGATGCTGAAAGTGGTAGAGCGTTAGCCTTCAGCCAAAATTGCTCAGGGACAGCACCCAGGCCCTGACTTGAGGCCCCAAGACCAACAAAAACCAAAACAAACACCAAAACACCCACTTTTATCCAGTGGAGGAAGCAAGCTATATGATCCGAGTTACCCAGGCCTGAAGAGGCCTAGCCCTGTAAGACAAGTCATCTGTACTATCAGAAAGTCAGTCACTGTGGTCCAGTGGGTTTGGGAGAGAATGAGAGAAGAAGGGGAAACATTGATCAAGATGCTTTGTACTCATTTTTTTTCCCCAGTCCTGGGGCTTGAACTCAGGGCCTGGGCACTGTCCCTGAGCTTCTTTTGCTCAAGGCAACAACTCTGTCACAGCACCATTTTCAGTACTTTCTGTTCACGTGGTGCTGAGGAATCAAACCCCGGGCTTCATGCATGCTAGGCAAGCACTCTACCACTGAGCCACCTTCCCAGCCTGCTTTGTACTCTTAAACTTGACATATTAAAACCCTTTGTACAACTACTTAAAGAAATAAAATGAATAATGATATGAAAGCAGAACATGGGGGCTGGGAAAGTGGCTCAGTGGTACAGTGCTTGCCTCGCATGCATGAGGCCCTGGGTTCGATTCCTCAGCACCACATAAGCAGAAAAAGCCAGAAGTGGCGCTGTGGCTCAAGTGGTAGAGCGCTCTCCTTGAGCTGAAGAGCTGAGGGACAGCACCCAGGCCCAGAGTTCAAGCCCCACAACAGACCAAAAAAAAAAAGCAGAACATATGGAAGCTAGGAAAGAAGAAAAAGGAGGAGAAGGAGGAGGAAGAGGAAGAGAAGGAGGAGGGGGAGGAGGAGGAGGAAGAAGAGAGAGGAAGAGAAAGGAAGAGGGAGCCAGCCTCTCCTCAGCACAGGAAGGGGGGGGATCACATGACCTCTGTAGTCGGAAATACCTTTCAAACCTTTTCAACTGTCAGCTGACCCTATTTAACTGCCCAACGGTCTTGGGCCTCAAGGTATTCATCTGTAAAGTGGAGCTACCAACGTCTATCTTAGCACTGTTTTCAGATTAATTGAGATGATACTGGCTCAACCTGCCACACACCGGAAGCGGAAGCCAGCAGTGGGCTGGTAACTTCCTCCGGGGCTGGTGGGCCTCTTCCCCGCCCTCAGGCCCTGAACACTCACCCTGATCCCTCTGCTATAGGGGATGAGCTTGAGAATGCGGAGGGACTGGATGCCGTCCGCCACGTTGAGGTAGCGGTAGTGTTTGCCCTTGATCTTGCGGAGCAGGTAGGGGATAAAGATGATGATGAGGATGACTACATCCAGCAGGTTGTAACCATCCTTCCAGTAGTCGAGGGGGTCCACATAGACTTTCAGGCAGAACTCCGAGGTGCAGATGGACACAAAGATGATTTCTGAGATCTGCAGGAAAGGCAGGGTTGGAGACATCAAACCAAACATAGAGCCCTACATCCTGGCCCTCTCCATGCCCACCAGGGTCTCACTCTCCTCCCCTTCTGTACCTTTCCTGGCATTGAGCCTGGAGCTAGGCTGGACCCCAGGTACTTTGAATGGATAAATAAGTGGATGGATGGGTAGATGAGTGGATGGGTGGGTAGATGGGTGGGTGGATGGATGGATGGATGGGTGAGTAGATGGATAGGTGGACAGATGGGGTAGATGGATGATGGGTGGATGGATAGATAGGTGGGTGGAAAGGGTGGATGTATTGATGGGTAGATGTATGGATGAATGAATGGATGTATGGATGGGTGGATTGATGGATAGGGGGATGGAAAAGGGGGATGGATAGATGGGTAGATGGATGGCTGGATGGGGTAGATGGATGGATGGGGTAGATGGATGGATGGGGTAGATGGATGGATGGGGTAGATGGATGGATGGATGGATGGATGGAGGGTGGATGGATGGGTGGACTGATAGATGGATGGGTGGATGGATGGATGAATGGATAAATGGATGGATGGGTGGATGGATGAATGGATAAATGGATTGGTGGGTGGGTGGATGGGTGGATGGGTGGATGGGTGGATGGATGGATTGGTAGAACAGACCCTAGTCAATGCTCAACACATCAAACCACCTGACTATAAGGATCCCCCGAGAAGGTTTCAAGCATTCTCAGCATGAATATACAGTAAGTCCACCTTATATTTTGGATTTATTATATGCAGTTTTGACTAAGCATAGTCAAAAATAAACAAATAAAAGGAATTTCAAGCCAGACATTGGTAGCTCATACCTGTAATACTAGCTATTCAGGAGGCTGAGATCTGAGGACTGTGGCTCAAAGCTAGCCCAGGGAGGAAAGTCAGTGAGACTTGTAGCTCTAATTAACCACCAAAAAAATTAGAAGTGGTGCAGTGGCTCAAGTGGTAAAGTGCTAGCCTTGAGCACAAAGAGGCTCAGGGACAGCACCCAAGCCCTGAGTTCAAGCCCTAGGACCAGGGGAAAAAAAGGGGGAGGAAATAAATTAATAGACTTGATATCTTTTTCGGGAACCTCGCTCCCTTTCTTTGTTGTATTGAACTCAGTACATCATACTCTACCACCTGAGCCATACTTTCATCCATATGTATTTTTAGTCATAATTTTTATTATTTTTAAGTAGTTGTACAGAGGGGTTACCATTGAATAATTCTGTGTATAACTATAATGCATCTTTTCTTTTTTCTTTTTTTTTTGTCGCTCCTGGGGCTTGAACTCTAGGCTTGGGTGCTGTCCCTGAGCTCTTCAGCCCAAGCGAGCACTCTACCACTTGAGCCACAGCGCCACTTCCGGTTTTCTAGCAGTTTATTGGAGATAAGAGTCTCACAGACTTTCCTGCCCCGCTGGCTTTGAACTGCGATCCTGAGATTCTCGGCCTCCTGAGTAGCTGGGATGAGAGGCATGAGCCACCAGCGCCTGTAATCAATGCATCTCCATCTATAGTCCTTTTACTTTTACATCACGTCTCAAGCTTTTGCTGGAGCCAGCCTCCGAGGTGGATCCTCACACCTCCACTTCCCGAGCAGCTGGTACTACAGCTGTGCTATCACACCCAAGATTAAATGGATCTGTCATCTTGACCACCATCCAGGATTTTCTCACGATTCCTTTCATCATTCATGATAGAAAAAATGTCAAATGCCTAATCATGTGCCAAGCAAGCAGTTCTAGGAACTGGGAAATTAATGGATGCCATCGAAGTGCCCTTCCCCACTGCCCCCCCCCCGACCTCCCCAGAAACCTACAGCCTAGGGGGGAGCCAGAAATGCTAAAACACACAAGAAGCATGCTATTTGGGTAGGAAGGAGAATAAGCCAGGGAAGGTAAGGAAGGGGTTTCAAAAAAGCTGGTCAGTCGCTGGGCGCTGGTAAATCATACCTGTAACCCTTGCTAGTCAGGAAGCTGAGATCTGAGGATCGAGGTTCCAACGAACCACTTAAAAAACACAAGTGGTCGCCGGGCGCTGGTGGCTCACGCCTGTAATCCTAGCTACTCAGGAGGCTGAGATCTGAGGATCGAGGTTCAAAGCCAGCCCGGGCAGGAGAGAACGTGAGACTCTTATCTCCAATGAACCACCAGAAAACCAGAAGTGGCACTGTAGCTCAAGTGGTAGAGCGCTAGCCTTGAGCTGAAGAGCTCAGGGACAGCGCCCAGGCCCAGAGTTCAAGCCCCACGACCGACAAAAACAAAAACAAAACAACACAAGTGGTGCTGTGGCTCAATGTGGTAGAATGCTAGCCTCAAGCAAAAAAATAAACTTACAAACAGTGTCCAGGCCCTGAGTTCAAGACCCCATGGCCAACCAAGAAAAAGAAAAGGTTGTACAAGTCATTATGTGGAAAAACAAACTTTACAACTTTGGTGTGTGTGATGGGGGGGTGGGGGGTACGGGAAGGGATGGGAAGGGGAAACAAAGGAGGAGCAAGAATGCTTGATAAGAAATGTACTCATTACCTTGCCCATGTAATTGTAACCTCTCTGTATGGTATTTTCACAATAAAAAAGAAAAGAAAAAGAACAGGTTAGGAAGACTGGGAGTTTCACATGCAGTGCGTGTGTGAGCATGCAGGTGTCATGTTCCTTTCTCAGAATGCCATTGGTTATTCTTGGTCTGATGGCTAAGCTAGCTTCACGGTGTGACTTGTCTCTGTGGGACAGGTGGGCTGACGCACTCCACCAATGCAGAGGCTTTGTATACAGAATGCTGTGTCTTCCACGCACATAAAACCACCCACTGTAGGCTAGATGGAAGCTGTTTCTCTGTTTTGGTTATTTTTGTTTTTTTGTTTTTTTGGTTTTTTTGGTCGGTTGTGGGGCTTGAACTCTGGGCCTGGGCACTGTCCCTCAGCTCTTCAGCTCAAGACAAGCGCTCTACCACTTGAGCCACAGCGCCACTTCTGGTTTTCTGGTGGTTTATTGGAGATAAGAGTCTCACGGACTTTCCTGCCCAGGCTGGCTTTGAACTGCGATCCTCAGATCTCAGCCTCCTGAGTAGCTAGGATGACAGGTGTGAGCCACCAGCACCTGGCTCTTTCTTTCTTTCTTTCTTTCTTTCTTTCTTTCTTTCTTTCTTTCTTTGGTCAGGGAGGAAGCTAGAAATCTTAAGCTGCTAAGGCAATGATTTGTAGTTCGTATGGCATAAAAATGGACACACCAAGTTTATTGGAGGGGTTTTTTTCCCTGTAAGATTGTGTCAGCTAGATTTTCAAATTTGTAAGTATTATGTTATATATATATATCATTTTAGCATATATTATATTAGAATTATATACATGTATAATATAT